CACCTCCATGCCGGCTGACATTGGGACGACGAAGAAATGCTTATTGGCTGATATCACGGAATTGCCGTTTTTAACGTACGTGTCATAAATAAACATCCGTTCTTCAGCACCGATCTATTGGTGACACAAACAGCAACCAGTTGAGAGGGTAATGACAGCTCCCCCTCTCTCCAGAGGTATCTGGATACCTCCCCTACTTGAACACCATCCTAATGAAAATGATAATACTCCCGTTATCCGTGAGTCACCCTGCAACTTCTCTAGAGGGTGGAGAAGGATAAAGTGCCTATTGCCAGTTGCATTTAAATTTAGTGCAAGTGCATTTTAATAAACACCTATGGATATTGACATTGGTGGGTAGGTGAGATCGTGCCTAGACGCACGATGATACACTCATCACGACAACCTTTTAACCTTGGTCTCTAGTCGTGAAAGCATATTTCTATCGCAAAATGGACGTTTCCAAATATCTATGCGTGCGATGAATTATCCTGTGTCCTCATCTAATCCTTAAATTACCCACGCGGGTCAATTTTTACTTTAATTTGCAGGGCTTACTGACCCCTTACAAGTATCAATTATATCTTTTCATCAATTTTTTGGTAGCTCAAATGATTCATTAAAAATTGTGTTATATAAAGGTCACAGTCTCACAGAAGCTTAACACATTTAGGTTGAATATTTAAAAAATTTAAATTGAAAAGTAAAATGACAGATCCAGTTCAATTAAGAAATGATGTACAGCACGCAATTTAAAATGATCGGAGGATAAAGTTTTAACACATTATAACACTTTGCGACATTATATGAAAAAGGTCCCTGGTATAGCTGTAGTCGCATTATACTAAAGACTCGTACAATTTAAGTTGAAGCGGATAAGATACCAGACTTGATATTGAGGTTACATTTCACGCATTTTTCCCAAACGAAAAAATTGCTAATGTGGACACTTGGTCCGTCCACTCGTTCGTTTCTCAAACTCAAACTCAAACTACTTTTTAGTGGGGAGTGCTATTAATTTGATCTATTGGGCACTTTCACCTAGCTAGTGGATAGAACTGTAGGTAGGTAAGTAGTTTATGTTTTTGGTGTACTCGTAAATTATGTTATTAATTATTATCACTTAAAAAACCGCATCGAAACCTGTTTAATTATTCTAGCATGTTTTTCACATTGGATTAATTTTTATATGTACATCCAGCCGTTCCTAATCTTTTAGCCTCTCGGTCGTGAGCCTTATCCTCATTTAGGCTCCTATGTGTCATAGCCTGTTTCACACTTTCGCTCCAAGATTTTTTTTGGCCTCTCTGCTATATTTCTCTTTGGTGGTCTTCATTCAAAAATTTTTTTGGTCATCTCATTTCCGATACTATTAGTACTATTACTAATACTATAAATTTTACTGCGTTTTCTTTGGCTTTTTGTACTTTGTGTAGTCTTTTAGTCATATAAATTTGAAATCTAGGGCTAGGCCACCTTATGCAGGTGTGTGTCATTCTCGGTGTCATTTATCAGTATTCCCATGGCTTTGCATTTACGTTTCATTCTCTATGTAGAAATGTAGATGTTAAACATTAATAACGGGCGATCAAAAACGGGTTGACGTCGAGTCTCCTTTGGAAGTTAAGTTAAATATAATTTCCCATGTAAACAAAAATTCCAAAGGTTACTCGACAGCAGGTGGTTTTTGATTGCATAGTTACATAGTATAGGTATAGACACACGGCATCCCTGTTGTGCGGTTCTACAGAACCCCTTCGTAGGAGTTATTATCAGTGTTTATAGTTCTATATGATCTTTATTACATAAGATGTTACTCTAATTTGTGTAGGGCATACCACAGCATTTTTTTTAGTACATGATATACTTTTTAAGATAGATCAACATTATGTGTACCTACTCTATCTATCTGGTAGTTTTTCAGTTATTCGCATAAATAACAAACAAATCAAAAACAACTCAATGTCAATAATGATCCATAGTGAAAATTGGACGAATTAATTTTAACCCTAAGATGACCCTGTTTGACATTTGATTGGAAGGGCATTCCCAATAAAACGATTGCTTCCAAAGCCTAATGAAAAATAAGAATATTTCTTTCAAAAAATGCCAATAACCATTGAATAAGTAATACTCATTCAACGCAATAACTCAATAACTACCGGATACACAGAATGTTAATAAAAGTGGCCTTAAAATTTAAATTTGCATGCATTTCTAGCATGAAGTTTTTGACATTTCTTGATTGCTAACTTTGAAAAATCGCAGCAGCCCTGGAAACTTTTTCAAGATTTTCGAGGGCCACTCAAAAAATTCTTTACACTCGATTCGATTATATAAAGAGCACTCACTTGTGTTAAACGGCTGAAGAGATGAATTTTTGAATGGACTCTTGCATCTTCCAATTTTTAAAGAAAGATTAACCTAACACTATGACACATAGGTGCTTAAATCCTAATTCTAATTAATTTATCGTTATTTGGTTGTTATTTCCGACATGCGAAATTTGATCACTCACTAGTAGGATGGGGACACCCGAAAACCTATTCAAAGACGTGCCACTTATATTTGTAACTCTTATGGTTGCTGAGAAAAAAATTATAGAAGAAATCCAAATTTCACCACTTCTTTGGGGGTGGCTCCCAAACGAAACAAGTTGGACCCTCGGTTTGTTTGGAAAAAGTGCTTGTCTTGATCCCTTCTATCACACAATTTTTTTGCGGTCATATAACACCCTGTATAGTAAACACTTAAAAAACTCAACTTTGCGGAGTTTAAGAAAGCGTTTGGAAGTAATGATTCTATATTTACATTACCGAAATGTTATCGCCATTGGACTGGTTCATACGGTTACCTACCTACAGAATAAAATTCTTAAGCGAAAGTTCCCAAGGGAATGAACCTCCTATTTCTTATACTCTAAAAAGCATTATGCGGGTTACTCTGTAATTGGGCGCAAGCCTGTTGAGGGCCCAGAACAAGAGAGAGATGATAAATAAATACTTGAAGGATGAGACACTTCGCACCTTTGATTCAATTCAACGGGTTACAAATAAATAAATAAATACATAATCTCAATTTACAAATTGATATCAGACCTTGTAGCAATTTGAAAGGAAATGTAATTTTAAGTCTAACTCAGGTATAGTGAGATTGTATGAATTCATTAAAGTCGCTACTTTTACAACTAAACTTAAAATTTCTTTTACAAAACAGTTCTTATTCCCTATCCCTGTACTGTACTAACAAGTTACAATCTTAACAATAAAGTGCACCAAGCTGGAAGATTCTCAAAGTCATTAAATTACATTCCCCAAGATAGGAACACAAAAAATGAAATGAAACCTAATTTTTTTTTATTTTTACACTCGATCGAGTCGTTTAAGATTCCTTACAATTTAAATGACCAAAAATAACATTTTTTACACCCTTACAATATTCGGCTCCGTACTCTTTTGAATGCAATAAAAAAACTGTATAGTACCTTAAATATACAGTACTGCTAACGTATATTCTTTCCGGGCCTGAAACTTTTAAGCAGTTTAATTTTTTCGATTACTCAAAATTCCAATTTATGTAAGCAAACGTCAATGACTGAATGACGTATCAAAATGTTGATTGGCGAACAATCGACAACTTTACGAGGTTCAGTTAGACCATTCTCCTTGAACTAATTATTAAAAACAGCTAAAATATGCTTATTCGTTTGCGGGAGATTATAACAAAATCACCCCGTAATCTGAATTTCCAGTTGTTTGTCATCGCGAGAGTTTCTTATTTAGGGTGCCTACCTACCCAAATTTTATATCAATGATCCTCTACGAGTTTCTTTCTCGCGAATTCTTTTTTGCCCTCTCATTCTCAGCCCTTATGTTTCCTATCAAAAAGTCCCCCCATGCAATGAAATTCATTTTTGATCTGTCAATCACAGTCCACGTGGATTTTCTTTTTTTGCTAAATCAACATAACTCCCTCATAATTTAATCGCAAAAAATAGATATCGATAGATAACACTGATGAATACACGTAAACTTTCCTGTGATTTTTTTCGTTGTAAATGTCACTTATGGCGCCTTAATTTTTCATCGCGTAGTTTAAAAGTGAGATCGTAGTCAAGACCACTTGCCAACGTAACATATCAAAAATAATTATTTAAAAAAAGGCGCAACTAACGTATTCCGTTACAATACCCGGTGTTGTATTTTTTATTTTTTTAGTATGATCTTTGAATACAAAATATAGTTATATTCAAAGGTATGAGTCAATGTTACATGCCACACTCCGTATAAAAGGTTGTTGAAAAAAAAACGCGGAATTAAAAATCAATCGACGCGTCCGAGTGTTTATTAACGATCCTCGAGATCGATTATAATTTGGTATGGCTATGTGTCTGTAAGTCCGTCTGTCTGTCCGTGTGCACGATAACTTTGTTCAGACACGACCGATCGCTTTGAAAATTGGTACACAGCTCTAGCGTTTTGGGAAGTACTGATCAATTCATGGAAAATGCGCTGAAGAGGATTGTTTTAAATTCTTTCCCCTTTTTTCGGGTGGTTTTTTCCATGGATACAGTGACTTGGGGTTTGATCTGATTAAAAGTATGGTAAACAATCCTTCTCTTTTCTTTTCTTTGGTGTCTTTTGGTGCTGATGTGGCGGAAGTAGTCGTCTTCATTTCACTTCCTTTTCCGTTTCACTGAATGAATGATGTGATAAAGACTGACTGACAGAATTAGTACCTACTAAAAATTAACGTTGCGATCATACTTGAGAAGCGTCTTCATCTGGATATAATTAAACTCAGCCGCAATTGTCTAGAAAGGATATTAGAATACACTACAAATGTTACGTTGCATAATACCTTAACTGTTGTATTAATTTGAAGCCATAAGAATTGATTGTATGCGAAACAATAGGTACAATACTGTAGTAGAATAACAATTACTTGCATAGTACACAGTGCTCGTAATTTGATTCTAATTTCGTTTGTCTTTCCAACAGGTATACAGGAAGTGGTGTCTGACGTACGAGTTGAATGCAATAGTAACGAAATTGTTGTAAGTTTGGACACAAGCTCGGGCGTATTTACGGGCATGGTTTACCCACGCGGGTTATCGAAAAACAGCACGTGTATGGGGGAATGGATTCGCCACTCATCCCCTGTGCAATATTCTTTGCCATTGAGGGGATGTAATACGATGAGTACAGAATTGGTGAGTATACATTTTGGTTTGGACCAACTTGCGTTTTTGTAAAATCTTAAGTCATCCCCTGATTGGTAAATCAAATACGACGAGGGCGGTAAATGAAAAGTAGTATATTGTTCTAAAAACATTCATAAACAGTGACAGTTTCAAAACCAAGATTAGATTGATACATTAAATACTTATTTATGGCTAATTACCTAAACGTTTTAACAGGCTGATCTATATTTAATGAAGTTTTAATAAACATATTATTATTTTGTTATACTGGAAATCTGTAGGATGACATTTTAGAAAATATGAACGGATCATGCCTTTTTCGCTATTACAGATTTAAAAACCCACCCTGCCTTGAAATTTTAAAACTCCACTTGCAACACGTCATTGGAAAGCTCTTAAAAATGTTCTTCATTGACGGAATACGATCATACACCCTGTAAACAATCGCTACAATTTGATGGTTGTGTCGTTGTGTTTTACTTGTGCGATGCCCCAACCCTCACTTCATTATGACGGTACAAAGTACGACTTTTTTCTTTAAAAAATGGTTAATTTCCGTTTTGCACAATTATCTTAAATTGGAAAAAAATTGCCATAAACTGCAACTTCCTTATGGCCGGTTGAGGTAAACCTCATTATGCTTCAAAAGTACTGAAGTAAATTACAAGTTAATAGCACAGCTGGGCAAATTGTAGCGTACCTACCTAGTAATGAAATTAGCATTTCAAGGCGTACAATTTTTTGCAACGCTCACTGGGTTTGTGGAAAGACAATTTTTACTTTGTTCTACAAGTAGGTATGTAATGACAATGGGTATTATATTTACTTCTACATTATTAATCACGAATGCACGTGCAATACGATCAATGTTAATCAACGACGTCAAACCTACAATATGATAATTCAAAAATCTGTGCAAATTTCTTACTATTGAAACAGACCAGTTTCTGTATCAGTACAGACTAGTAACGTTAGCTGTAAATTTGCATTTAATTTTTTTCGGAATTTCGGTGTGAACTTATAAGAATAGAACAATTTAAGCATTACATATCACAGAAATTTAGCGGACTGAATTGGTTTTCAAAATAAATGACATTTTTGGTAGAAATTCAAAGAATAAATTTGTCAACCGTGGTGCAAATGTAGTGGGTTTTTTGCGTCATTTAATTTGAATGGTTCTTAGTTTCGGAAGCTTCTCGAGCATAAATGCTCGGGATTTATATCATATTTCGTCTTTTTAATTAGTGCTATTGGGTTACACTTGCAGCTCAGCATTTGGTCCCTCTCTTAATCAAAAGGAGACTAGCCAGTAAGATTTGGATAGCTCGCCTCACCTCTTTCTTCTGTGCTTTCATGAATATAACAATTCCAATAGGCACAATTTAAAAAAAACATTAGTTATTACACGTGATAAGGGACAGTACTTAGTAAAGATGAATTGCTTCGGGAGAGATTTTGGGATTATTTAGGATTTTTACTGCCAGAGTAATCGATGTGCGGGCCGAAAATTAGAGTTGTTAATTAATTCGCGTCTTGGTCCGCAGTAGAGCCAATAGTATCGCGAGATTCCTGGTAGAATTTGAAAAAGATTCGCATTTGGAAAGCCGTTGCTACTAGTTCGGGGCTCTTAATAAAGTTTGAACCGGAATCGATTTGTAGACAACCCTCATGACCAGTAGTGGTGTTTGGAACGCAAAATATAACAACGTGAGTTCCGCGTAATAATTGTGTGCATTTAGAACAGATTTAAAGCGACCGCCAAAATTAAGGAAATATAATCGCCAAGAATAACAAGTAATCTGAAATTGTAGAAAACAATATTAAGCACATTGTTGACAAAGTTGACGTATTCAGCATTTCTTGCACACTAACATAATTGACATAGGTTAAGGAACATAAATTTGTGATATAAATAGCATGTAAATGCTTACAATAAATATTACCAGTTAACAATCTTCCAACTATCGGTAATGTACCGGGTTTGAGTTATAAGATATTCTTCAAACGAGTTTACTTTGTATGAGTTTGCTTAGGTGAGCTTTAGGATTTACAACCCTAACGCTATATTTGGTCCTTCTAGACTTTAAATGAAGTGGTGCCGCGCTATGTTTGTGTTCCGGTCCCAGTAAGCAACGACGAGAACAGTAGAAGTGGCAAGCAACCTCTCCACAAACGGAGAGAATGCCACTGAAATAATACTATCCACCGCCATCATCGGAATATAAAATCACTGAGGAATGGGAGTATGTTAGGGAACTATTAGGCAGCGGTTCTTAAATGTCCTTCGTTACCGAAGAGTGCCGAACGCTTTGGTCTTCGCACAAAAGGGATTTCCTTGGAGGTACCCGGCGTAGGGCTGACTGGTGCAGGCACGGGGCAAGGAGAAATCGAGGTCGGGATCAAAGCCAGGTTTTCCAGTAACTTCAGATTCAGAAACGGTTCATCCCGGAACTTCGCATCCAAATGTAAGTAAAAACGGAGCCCTTAGTAAACCCTCACTACAACGTTTCTGGCAACATGATAATTGGGTCTGACGTACTGCCGTTTTTGGTGAAGGAAGGGCTAAAATAACCGTAAGAAGGATGCATATTGCAAAATACGGAAGTGGGTTGGATTGTTTCGGGGAAGATAAAGGTCGCCAGGAAAGAAGGTGAACCCGTACAAAGCTTGGCCTCCATCACGGACGATAGCGCGCTGGCTAAGTTTTGGGAAATTCAAAACCAAGAGGAGTACTTACTATCGCAGGACGAATAATACTGCGGTATGGAAAGACAAATAATAGGGATAACTTCTAGACCATAGCCTGCCGCTAAAAGGAGAAGCTGCGTTCCAGAAGCATGGGCAATCGTGAAACGGGACATAATTTCGTGAGGAAGCCGGCATTATGGCTCAATGGTGGAGCGTTGAGTTATAAATCCGGAGTTCGGGTGTTCGAACCTGGGTTGAGGTGAATTTTTCATCTGTGGCAGAGATGGGAATTTCCTTAAGATCAGTTTCGAGCATTCTGCCGGCTACTCCGAATTAGGATTTCCTGCAGCTTTCCTAATTCGTAACGTAAGGTAAATACCGGAGTAGTATAGAACAACTTAAGACCTTCTGCAGAGGCACCTCTAAAAGGCATTATGCGGGTCACTCTGTAATTGGGCGCAAGCCTGTTGAGGGCCCAGAACAAGAGAGGGATAATAAATAAATTAGCAAAATTCACTCCGTGAACGACAAAACCATGGAACCATGTTCAGTTAGAGGATAATCCAGTCGACCTGATTTCTCGGGGCACAATTGTGAATCAGCTCCTGGAAAGTGAGTTGTGGTGGCACGGACTACGATGATTCCTAGAAGCGCGAAGGGCACCACTCACGTCCCAGAGACACAGGATGAAGCAAGAATAAACCCATTAAAAGCGTTGAAAAAAGCGGCAGAGCACCTCGATGCGACCCCACGAAGTTATCGGATTTGACCCAGTTTCAATTGGCTTGCTACATGTGGTATATATGTTAACTGTGCACAGTTTGAACCGAATAGGTTCAAGCGTTTACTAGATGCAGAGAGGAGTGACCCTACGAGGTCATTCGATTTGACCCATCATCAATAGACTTGTTACATGTGGCATATAAGTCTACTGTGCAAAGTTTCAACGGAATAGGTTCAAGCGTTTGGCAGGGACAGAGAAGCGTGACCCCAAGGGGTCGTTGGATTTGACCCATTTTCAATAGGCTTATTACTTGTGGCATATCTATAGGTCAACTGTGCAAAGTTTGAACCAAATCGGTCCAAACGTTTGACAGTTATCGTGTTCACGGACAGACGGACACCATCGACTCCCCTATAAAGCTTGCATCGCTTTGCTCTGCCGCTTAATAAAGGTAACCGCACTCAGCATACGGAAAGTGGAGTCTATTGCTTTATATTTATATTCTACTTCTTTTCGTATTAGGTGTTGCTATACATCTCTCATGGTTTATTATTTATTTGCGTTTTTTGTGCCACCTTTACATTTTGTCTGTATAAAAAATAAGTAGGTTGCTTTGGCGCCTGTTTCACAACATTCACTTGTCAAAGATGATTTAGTTCACTTAATAAATAATAATAACTATAGGTAATAATAGTTAGCAGTTAGCTTTTGACATCACACTCTTTGGTTTATGCTTTGTGGGTTACGGTTTTTAGCATTCTGAAGGTACGGACAGGTTATAATTGATTTATTTATATTTTATATTTTTTAAAGTACCTATTGCAATAAATTGGTATAATGCAGATTGTCCTAAAGTTTTTCCGTTTGTCTTTTAAATACCAAATAATAAACTTTGACACTGTGGTTTGACTTTAACGTCTTATCACTTTTATAAATTATAAGGAAAAAATTTGTCCAAGAATGTCTTTTTTTCTTAGCATTTCCAAATAAACTAACATAAAATAACAAACTTCACCCCCTATAATAAATAAAAAATAAAATAATTTTGTCGAATAGGTACCAAAATTATGGCAACACGGATTTCGTCCACGCATTTTATTACAGCAACTTTTCAAACTGTTTTGTCAGATAGGTACGCTAAAATGTGAAAAAAATCTATTTATTTTTGAAATGACATTTTCTCCAAAAATGTACAATTCAAATGAACAGGCTTGCCCACGTCACTTTTACCTTCACTGTTATACCACCCATGTAGGCACCTATTTCAATAAATTATGTGTGCAAATTACCGTTTTTTGTAAGTAGCAATGCACAAAATGTAAAGTGCGCTTCAAGCTATTTTTATAGAAGACTAAGTTGACTTCTATTTACGGAAAGCAATGAAGAGGAACAAATGAAGTGGGAGCATGGTACTTGAACTATTCGCTTCGCATCATTACAATAAAGTGATCTAAAAGGATTAAAAAAGGCATGGCGATTTCCCACGCAATCTACCTATTGCAAAATTAAGTGCCCACTGGAGTTGACCATGACCTTTTGTTTTATTACAGTCGAATGCTTGGAAATCGACTTTAGCAATGTCTGTCTAAGTACCTTG